TTTGTGTGTTCTTTAAATTCACTGAATTCTTTTATCATGTTTATAATTGTTCTTTTGAGTTCCATGTCCTGCATTATCTCTAGGCATTATTCTCATTGTAATATTATTCTCATTGTACTCCTCTAGAGGACTATTGGTATTAGGTGGGGATATGTTATTTTGGTTTTTCATGTTATGATTTTTTCTCTGTGATTTTGACATGTGAATTTCTTTTGTAGTTTCTGATTCTTGTGTGAGATTCAAACCTTCAAGTTTAGGTCTGCTTCTTTTTGTGAACTTTATGTGTCTTTGTTGTTTACTTTTTGGGCCTGAAAAGCTGGTTCCTCTAATTTTCCAGTTCTCTCTTTTGATTTTATATTGGAGTGGCCAGATTGCTTTTGTCTTCAGGAGTTCCCACAGAGGCCCAAGTCAGATGAGGATCAGATCCTCTCAGGCTTTCTCCTAAGGTCTGGATCCCTCCAGGAAAGATTTTGGCCTCAGGAATTTGGACTTGCCTGGGAGCCAGGCCCAGGAAAGATGCTGGGCTAGGGCAGCTGGTGGCTGTGCCACCCAGAGATGCAAAGAAAGACAGGGTGGGAAGCGGCCCCAAGGGCTCCTGGGTACTGAAGGGAGAGGCCCCAAGGGCTCCTGGGGCCTACAGGGAGGAATTGGGTTGGTCTGGATGCAAAGGATCAGGAAGAGGAAAGGTCAACCTCATGGTCCAGGAAAGAGGCTGGAGGGTTGTGCAGGCCCAGCAAAGCAGAGGGAAGTGAGGGCAGGGCCAGGACCAGAGTGCTCCTGGGGCCTGAGAAGGAACTGAGTTTTTCTGGATGCAAAGGATCAGGAATCAGTGGTGGTCCCCAGGTATCTGGGGCACCAAGACAAGGAATGGGACAGGACCCAGGCTAGGAGGAGAGACTGGCGAGGGAGATGGGAGGGTGAATGAGGCTGGGGAAGTCAAGGCGTGGAGGGCCCAATCAACTTACCCTGGAGAGAGAGGCCTGTGCATCCTGCAGGCCCAGGGAAGCAGGGGGAGGTGAATGTTTTCTATTTCTTTTAGGTTCCTACTATTTACTCTCCCTTCCCCCACCCCCCTTTACTGTAACAGCATGTAGAATGCCTAGTTCTTTACACATAGTAAGCATTCTTTAAACGTTCAAGTCAATGATGTCACAATAGATCTATTAATGACATCATCAGGACTTGAACTTTGATGACAGGGTAAGCCTGAAACCTCTTGGAGTGAGCTTCCAGCTTCCTAGTGGACATTTTTATTACCATTTGCCTATTTTCTGTGAAAAAGAAGAAATAAAATCACCCAAATTTTGAAAATGAAAAGTGATGCCCAAAGTGAATCAGAATTAGACAATGCCAAGGAAAATGCCATTATGACAAGAAAGTCCAGAGATGCTCTTGAAAATTCACTGGGTCCTAAACTTGAAATCCTGTTATCAGTACAAGCAGTGATTAATAAGATTGAGCAAGCACAGGTCCTCCGGACCAAAGAGGTAGGTGGTAAATCAGTTTACAGACTAGAGCTCTTAGAACTTTGCATGACTAGGTACTTTTTTTAAAAAAAGAGAACATGTTACAGTTGTAAACATTGAGAGAATTTTAAATAACTTTACTGCAATGACAATTTCTCCAGATTTTGAATAACAATTTCCAATTTGATCTCAATCATCTGTTTATACTAGAGTTAGTCAGGTTATTTAAGAAGTAAATTAAATACCTGGTTGAGGAGATACCGTGATCAGGAAGATGCTTTTCCCAAGTCAAGGCTTATTCATTGCACTCTGAATTTGCTGATCTCTGCAATTTCCCCAAATGTGAAGAACTTGACTGCATAAATTGTGTCAATGGGAAACTGCAATTAGTTCTCCACTTTATTAATTTAAAAAAGTAAATCAGCGGGGCATGGTGGCGCACACCTTTAATCCCAGCACATGGGAGGCAGAGGCAGCTGAATCTTTGTGAGTTCAAGGCCAGCCTGGTCTACATAGTGAGCTCCAGGACAGCTGGGGCTACAAGAAGACCCTGTCTCAAAAAGACAAAAGAAAAAAAAAAAAAGTAAATCAAGCTGGTTGTGGCAGTGAACATCTGTAATTTCAGCACTCAGGAGGCAGGTGGAGGTAAGAAAACCTTTAGTTCAAACTCAGGCCAGGTTGAACTGAATATTATCACAATCCTGCTCCCCCACACACAAAGGTAGGAGTGCACAGAGATGGCTTAGCTGGTAACGCCTCTCCTTGCTGAGCCTAATGACCTGAGTTCAATCCCAGAATTCACGTGGTGGAAGGAGAGAACTAATTCCCTCAAGATGTCCTCTGACTTGAGGACAACTACATTGGTGTTGTGGCACTTGTGCCCTACCCCAAGTAAGAAAATAACTGTAATGTATGTGTGTGTGTGTGTGTGTATGTGTGTGTGTGTGTGTGTGTGTTCAAATCCAGCTTTATTAAGGTTATTTGGTAATTTTGATAACAGTATATAGTTTTTTATATGCTCTTGGGAAATATTAGAAATCAATTTTATTTGGTTTTGTAGTAGATTTGAGTACCACACATTTCTAAATCCTTTGTCCTTCAATTCATTACTAGTTAGCATAGTACATTAAATTTTTCTTTTCTTCATAGTAAAGGCATTTGTGAAATAAACAAGATAAAATCCACAGACTCAAAAAATTCTCAACTATTAGAAACATACGAAAAATATTAAAGACTTCCACATTTAGTCCTCCAGGCTTCAAAGCAGGCATTTGTAGCAGGATTTTTCTCCTGGGTAGCTCTTTGCTTAAGGCCTTATCATTCACCTGCCATGCAGTCAGTCTCCATATAGGCTTATTTCAGTGTATTGCTGCACAGCAGATGTTGGACACCCTTCTGTCCATCACAGCATTCATCAGACCTGCAAACAAAACCTCACGGGCTCTGCTGCTTCTTCCTTAAATTCTCTGGTGAACCTGAAGTTAGAAATGGAGCCCCAACTCCAAATTTGCTGTGAAATGTCTGGTGACTTTGTTTTTATGTCCCATTTTTGATCCAAAGGCATGGCATTTGTAGAAAGGTGGTATAAGTGAAGGCAGGTTGTACGTGGTTGACGCTCGGTATTTCTTTATTTGAGGTACACCAGTAGTCACAGATACAGGCACACTGGTTTGCCCAAAGGTTCTTTCAGACTTTTTATTCATCACATTGGATTTTTTCTCTGTGAGGCAAATAACATCCTGTTTAGATGTCCTTACTTTTTTTTATTCAGGGTCTCACTATGTAGCCGTACCTGGCCTTGAACTTACAGAGATGTGTCTGCCTCTGCCTTCCATGTACTGGGATTAAAGGCATGCACCAACATGCCTACCCTCCCTTTTAGATTTCTTTGCAGCATCTCCATTCACACCGCTGTCCAGGCAGAACTAGCAAATTCCATTGTCCTTGTTCCACAAAATTGCAAGTGTACTTCATAATATTTTTATGATCTAGCAAGGGGCTTTACATACATACTTTGGCTAATTAATTATGTTTTGAGACAAAATCTCCCTATGTAGCTCAAGCTGGCCTAGAACTCCCTATATAGTCCAAAGTGGACTTGAATTCACAATCCTCCCACTTCCACCTCCCAAATGCTGGAATTACAGACATGAGCCACTATGCCTGGCTTGGCTCTTTTGTGTGTGTGTGTGTGTGTGTGTGTGTGTGTGTGCGTGCGTGCACGCAGAGGTCAGAAGTTGAGGATGTCAAGGTCTCATGTAGTTCAGACTAACTTTGAACTCACTATATAGCTAAGGATAACCTTAAACAACAAACTTATTCCTCCTTCTCCCCTTCCTCCTCCTCGTCTTCCTTCTCCAGGTTGTCTTCTTTTTTTTTTTTGAGACAGTATCTTCCTGTAGCCCCAGCTGACCTGGATCTTGCTATGTAGATGTAGATCATGCTGGTCTCAAACGCTCAGAGAACTGCATGCCTCTGCCTCCTGAGGACTGGTATTAAAGGCATAAGCCACCACAACCAGTACAGTCTTGAATTTCTGACCCTATTGCCTCCACCTCCAGAGTGCTGGAGATCACAAGTGTATGATAGCATGCTGGGCTCCAAAAAAAAATTTTTTTTTTGGTCTTTTTGAGACAGGGTCTCCCTGTAGCCCCAGCTGGCCTGGTACTTGCTATGTAGACCAGGCTGGCCTTGAACTAACAGAGATCTGCCTGCCTCTGCCTCCCGAGTGCTGGGATTAAAGGCGTGCACCACTCTGCCCTACTTTTTTTTTCTTTTTTTTTTAATTTTTAAAATTTTATGTGTATTCATGTATTACCTGCATGTAGGAAAGTGCACCCATGTCATGTAATGCCCTCGGAGGACAGAAAAGGCTGTCAGATCCCCTGGAACTGGAGTTACAGACAGTTGTTAACTGCCATGTGGGTGCTGGGATTCAAACCCAGGTCTTCTGCAAGAACAGTCAGTGTTCTTAACCACTGAGCTATCTCTCCAGCCCCTGGGTTAGTTTTCTTAATATACTAATTTCTGGGGATGGCAAAATGGTTCAGCCAGTGTGCTGGATAGCTTTAGCATCAACTTGACACACTGGGTTGAGGGAGCCTCTCTTGGGGAATTGCCTCTATTGGACTGGCCTGTGGCCATGTCTGTGGGGCATCTTCTTGATGAGTGATGTCGGAAGGCCCAGCCCACTGTGGGTGGTGCCACCTTTGGGCAGGTGGGCCTGTGTTGCATAAGAAAGCAGGTTGAGCAGGGGCCAGGGAAGCAAGCCAGTAAGCAGCATTCCTCCATGGCCTGTGCTCCAGCTCCTGCTTCCAGGTTCCTGCCCTGAGTTCCTTCCTACCTTGGGCTCCCTGATGAACTGCGACCTAGGAGATGTCAGCTGAATAAACCCTTTCCTCCCCAAGTTGGTAGTGGTGAGAATATTTTGTCACAGCAATGAAGAACAAACTAAGACAGTAAGTGAAACAGCTTGTCACACAAGCTTGATCTGAGTTTGATTCCCAGAACCCACTATGGCAGGGGAGAACTGACTCCTTAGAGTTGTCCTCTGACCTCTACATGCTCACCTGTTCATATTTACACACACATACATACACATTTGTTTAAAAAAATTTCATTTTCCCATTGAATGACCTTGGAATCATTTGACCATGTGTGCAAGGCCTTGTTGTTGACCTCTCTATTCTGGTCTATTGGTTGGTTTGTTAATTTTATGACAGTACTTGATTTGTGTAGCTTTGTAACACATTTACAATCATAAAGTGAGAGACCTCCAACTATGTTTATATTTTCCAGTACTTTTTCAGGTGTTGGGGGTTACTTGAGATTTCTTGTGACTTTTAGGGTGGATTTTTCTATTTCTGCAAAAAATGTCACTGGGATTGTGTGTGTGTGTGTGTGTGTGTGTGTGTGTGTGTGTGTGTTCCTTATGGAAAGTTTGTTAGTGATTGAATTAAATCTATTAGAATTAAATCTATTGATTAGTTTGTGTAGTATTGACAATTTAACATCAAAGTTTTGTGTTATAGACATTACATGTATTTCCATTTATTTCTGTGTTTCTGTTCTAGTGAAAACTATAAATGTACAAGTCTTTCATCTTAGTTAATTCATATTCTCTCTCTCCCTCCCTCCCTCCCTCCCTCCCTCCCTGTGGGAAGCAGGCGCGTCCGAGTCAGCCAAAGATGGCGCCCTGGCTGGCTGCCAAGCCTCATGACCCTCGCTTGTTTACTCCAACTCACGCAAGCGCTATGAGCCCGATCATGTGCTGCCTGCCTGATCAGAGACATCACCAAGCATGACCCTGCTACGTGGCCCAATGAGCTGCCATTCTGCCTACCTGCTGCGTGCGTGTGTGTGCCTTGATTGGTCCTAGCTGGGGGGAGGGCTGTTGGGAACAAAATATATAAGAACTGAAGTGCGCAATAAAGGAAGAAGAAGCTTGAACCTCACCTTGGTGTCTGTGTCGTCTCTCCTTGACTCTGCCGGACGGAGTCTTGGGCTGCGGCAAGTGGTGGCCCCTATGACTGCTGTTCGTCAAAATAGTACCTTGTTTTGCCATAGGGACC